TTTCACAGACCACCAGGGCGGCCGAGAATACCTTTGGTCAACCTGAAATGAATCATTTAATCATCCAAAACGATATGGAACACATTAACTGAAAAATGTTGCATAGTGTGCCTTTAAATATCTAACCAACTACAGATACTATTTAACATTTATTACTTCATGCCAGAATTTCTTGTTTATTTTACATTCTTGTCTTAATTGGTGAAATGTATTGATTGTATGACTGACGTTATTTATATATGTGACAAGTTCCAATGTAATCCTCCAGTTTCTATTCCCTATATGCTTATATAAGCAAAAAAAAAAAAAAAAAACAATAATCAAAATCTATTAAATATGAAACTACCAATACACAATATACAGTGAAACAACCAATAAAAAGTTATGAAATTACCTGGAACATCTCTTAGATGTACCCATCATGAAGGACTTCTCAGCCTGTGGCATAAAGACATCCGGGTTTTTTTGAATAATGTAAATAATGTAGATGATCTTGGCTGCCTAGTTCAATATCAAACTGCGTTTGCATCTTCATTCTTTCCGACTTTAATATATCATTTAAAAATCTAACTTTTTTCATTGCATGGCATCATGAAGAGATGTTGATAAAATGTAGTGATTGTTACCTCCAGCAACCATGTTAAAACCAATTTGATATTTTAGTGGAATTTTCTTCCCTACATAAAGGTTGCTGGTATATTTTTGGATTAATGTTCAAATGGAGGGAGACACTGAACTCTGACATAAACAATCTATCAGCAAACCCGAGGTGAATACATCAGAGTGTATACATTTAAAATTGCTAATGATCACTTTACACAGAAAATAAATAAAATACCCAAGAATGTATCTTTAAATGTTTATTAAAGGGTTTTTGAATTTCATTACGATTCAAGTTTTAAAACGATGACATCAAATGGGCTTCAAACTAGATGACTGTCTTTGAACATCTACAATAAAGCATCATGGGTTGATCAATAATGCAAAATTGGTGTCAGCTTGAATTCATTACAAAGACAGACTGTCTGATAACATACACCTTTGTTAGAGTATGATCTGATCCAAAACCCAACAGAAGGGTTTATCTTGGACGCTTAAAAGCGATAGGTCCCAATTCTAGTTGCTTGTAGCAGAGTAAATAAACTCAAAGCTTTATTAACACCTGAACCTTAAATGCAGCACCTTTAGACAGCGGGGTGGATAAAGTGCAGCCAAATTCCAGAAAAGAGGGGCGTCACATCAATACGTCTAAAAGTGTATTTAGGGTATCTGTTCGGCAAGAAAAACGTCACTGAGTGCAGAGAGGAATTTTCTAAAAAGTAAAAACTCCAGTAGTGGGCAGATGGCAAAATGTATCACAAGCACTAAAACCGCTTCAAAGTTAAGCCAAAATAGCCAGTAGTGAGTGAATGTGGTCAGGCAGGATAAAGTTAAGGCATAAAGTCCTTTTCTAAAAAATCCAGATCTGTTTGTCCCTTGGTCAGTTACTGTCCCTTTACTTTAAATATCGTGTATCATTTATTTTTGTTTGCATAAATAATTTGTTACATAGAAAACGTTAAAATCTTAAATATTTTTTTAATCCTTTGTATTAAACATTGCTTCTGCTAATTATGGTGCTAATCAATATTCAGGCTGATTCCAATGAAATTAGATTAGGAACTTTTCTCTTGCAGTCACATATTGAAGTACTTATTAAGCACAATTTAAGAGGAACTTCATGTAGTTTTCAAAGTGCATACTTCCCTGGTGGATGATGCATGATGGGTAATAAGTGTCTCCATTGGGCCGAACTGCCAAGGAGCAACAGGACCAGTCCCAATTCAAGCCTACTTGGACTTTTTGATACCAGCTGTCAGTACTTGCAACCTCTTTATTTTAAACATATTTTTTTACTCATCTTTGAAAGCAAGTTAATATGATAAAACTCTTATGTATGAAAAAAAAAAAAAAAAATAGCCCGGAAGACATCTGTCAAAACCAGGAAGATAAATTTGGCTTTGTTCCACAGAGAGCAGAATAAAAGGTACGATCTATGATATTTGACAAATTTCAACATGGCATCCCTCTGGGCTTAATGCTGCCATTTATGGATCATCTTCACAGTCAGACGTTGTGCTTCAGCTCCAACACTTTCTGCTGATGCAAAACACATGAGACAAAAACTCTTGATTCCTAAATTAGCTTCTGCAAAACCGATCAAATTAACCACATCCAAAATATGTTTCTATTGCAAACCTATTTTCTAAACAGCCTACAAATCTCCTGATTTAAAAAAAAAAATGTCACAAAACATGTAGAAACAATGTTTAAAACAGAACTCACAAACAAAAACCAGGAAGTGATTTCATTGTTATTGCTTGTAGAAACAGATCAGGTGACTCTTGTCGTTCAGATCACCGTTTCGGGCCAGAGGTTTGCTTTCCTATTGGACCAACCCACGCACTGTGCAAAGTTCTGCTCTGACCCACTGTCTGCAGCGCTAAGACACATTTTTGGGCACTGTGAGCTTTCACTGAATAGGTCCGAGCTGCACAACCTTCTTCCACCTTGCCCTCAATTAGCTTAACTGTCAGTTCTTGGCACTGTGTACTTTATATATTTCCTCTCAGCTCTTCTAGGCCTCCTCTTGTCCCATACCCAGCATTGACCCGTTTTTTACCTGGGAGAAAATGACTCATCTGCTTGCATACCTTGCACCCCCCACCCCCCAGATCAACCAACCAGTTCTCCTTATTCTCCCTGAAGTGACAAACACTTCCCAGATTTAAAACCGGACAGCCCAGAGTATCACAGTGTGTTGGGGTGTGTGATTAAAGCCTGTTCCAAATGAGGAACTAAGGGCTTTAACATCCTTGACCTCTGCCAGTCACCTTGCCAGGTCCACAGAGGGAAAGGACAAGGCAAAAGGCAAAGATCAAATCAAAGTGTGCAGAGAAGAGATGGTGGACAAGTAGATTTAACTCCTAATTTTAGTCAAATTGAATGTCATCTCAACACTCTGCTCTTAAGAAGTCACGCAGAACACCCCGTCATTTCGCCCAAACTCTCCAAGAAGCAGCGGTTTCCTTGCAGCAGGTAGCTTCAGTTTATCTGCAGAGCCGGAAGCCGGAGGTGCCATCGGGACCAGTGGGCTGACGGATCACCTGATTGTTTGGGCGAACTGCTTCTAATGGTTGCTGCACATTCATACGTGGCGCCCTGTTGACATGACAAGAAAGACACTTAGCGGTTCTTTAGCAATTCAACTATTTAACTCTACCAATGCATCAAACTGAGAAAGTCTTGAAATCATTTCACAGAGTGATATATTTCAATCAGATCAGTTTCTTCTGATATTTGTGGTACAGGTAATAAAAATCTAAAATTCTGTTTTTCATGTTGCATAACATTGATTAAAAAAGATATTTTAAAGCATAAACAACGCTGACTTCACAGATACTCAAATTCTCAACATGCAGTGTAAGGTCACAATTGTTCCCTGCTGTAGAAGCTGGAGCTTCTAGGTGTACTCTAAGATTATTATTGGAAAGTTGAGTGGAAGAAAAACAATTCAAGAGGATACCATTGCCATAACCCTGAAAGGACTGGGAGACATTAAGAACATTAACAACTGGTGTCAGAGCCTCCTTTCACAGGCTAATAGTACCACACGACGTGTTAAATTCTGAACTATAGACATGGGAAGCATCTCATGTGGGCAAAAAATCCTCCATTCAAGAAAAAAATTTAAATTGGCATTTAACTTGAAAGTCAGAGTGCAAGATTCTGGAGGAAATTTCTCAACCATGGTGTTACTGAGATTGAATGGCCAGAAAACTTCCCTGTCCTGAACCCTATATGTAAGAGAAATAGGTGAGAAAGGAGGGCAAACAATAGCTAAACATCAAACTGCACAAAATGTAATTTCAAAAATTGATTTGCTAAATGGACACACTGCAATTACGAAATTGAAACTCGTTTTCTCTGAGGTTTCTATTATTCAATGAGGTGGTTTTTCACTCGTACCAAAATTGTTTTTTTTTTTTATAACTGTGATGGAAACGCCTTTCCCCTTCAAACAAGTCATGTGATCTGCAACTGGACTTTTTTGCCTTGTAAAACAACTAAAGGCTGATTTATACTCACAAACCAGGTTGTCTGCGTGTGTCACGGTTAACACAGATTGGCCACCGATTGGTCAAATCTACATCCGCTCTACACTATGGGTATTTCCTGTTTGGTACCGTACCAGCTTGTTTTGTTTTTATGACCGCAATTGTGGACAACGATTCATGAAGATGGACCAGCTAGAAGAGCGAGGTGTGTGAGAACGCTGGGACCCTTTTTCCACATGGATTCCCGCTTTTTTCACCCTCATGTCCCTCATTGTTGCACAAACTTGCCCCTTGCGTTTTTCCACTTCCTTACTGCCTCGGCCATATCTAGACCCACATTCAGTTTGTGATTGTCCCTCTTGCGTTGTGGAATAACATAGCGCGGATCACGCTTCAACATTGGGCATAAATCAAAAATATCTGCGTCATATCTGCGGCAAGCTCACTGCGACACACGGCTGCGGGAGTATAACCCGCCCTTCAGACAACCAGAAGTAGTTGGAGGATCAGAGCTGATATGTTTTTAAGAATTATCGCGCAAACAAAGGTATTAACAAGTTATTTTAATTGTATTTGTTATCTATTGGAAATATTGCAATCATGAAACTTTGCAATTCTGAAATCAGCAGAATATCGACACCAATTTCACGCACATTTGTAATGAAAATGCAGCTGATGTAGACAGACTGCAGGCAGTAAAGAGAGCATCCCAGGCTTCCAATACGTTTCATTTATGTAAAGGTAGAGCTGACCAAACACTGCAAATGTCGTACAGTACATTGAAATTCTTATCAGTAGTTCAAAATGTGTTATATTAGAAAAAAAAGCGTAATCGATCAAAACAAATTCATTTTCAGTCAAACATATATTGAGATTTTCATTAGTTCTAATGCAAACACACAAAAGTAACAAAACTGTGAGATATATCACTCTGTGTCAGAAAATACATAAATGAGCTTCTATTTATTTTTGTTAATTCAGTTTCTAAATCTTGAAATGTAAACATATGTTTACAGCTACAAATATAATGTAATACCGGTCCTGGCTTGGATTGTCCTGAGGCGTTTCCTCTGAGGAAGCACTACCCAAAATTCTCCTCCGGGCCTCTGCATACTCTGCCTCCCGTTGCGCCAAAGACTTCATCTGCTGTGAGGGACGAGATGAGGATGTAGAGTTCCCCGTGCTCCCATTATTGGAAGGACGCTTTAAAATTCGAATCTGAGGTGGAGGAGCCGCAGGCAAGGAGTCATCTTGGACTACAATTGCTGTTCTCACAGGGGAGCTAGCAGACTTTAAATTGGTCTTCCTGAAAAAATAAAGCCATGTCAGCGTTTTTGCGTTCTTTAATTTTGCCACTTCATGGAGATGGTCACTTACTTTGCTTCCTGATTTATCTTTAGTTTTGCCTCAAGTCTTCTCTCAATTTCCTAATGAGAAATAAAAATCAGTTAGTGATCATGCAAATCATCCAAATACCTAAATGATCAAAGAAATATGACAACATAAGTTAGGAGATCATACCGTTTATATTCTTTTAACTTGAGATGCACCGATCTGATACCTCAGACATCAGCTTCGATATTAACTTATTAGATGGACTGATGATTGACACCAAACAGGCATTCTGATCAAGTCATTTAATTTTTTGATATCACACACAATACAGCTATAGAGATCTAGTCAGTTCTATTTTTGTGAGGCAGAGAACACACCAGCTAGTGATGATTGTTATCCATGTTCATTTCTTACTTTTTTTAAAATTATGTTTATGTTACGCCTGATAACTTTATACACATGGTCAGGTATATGGTTTATTCATCGACCAGTATCAACAGATACGCTCAGCTCAGATATTGGATTGGTTTGGATTAGGGCTGCAGCTAACAATTATTTTGCAAATCGATCAATCTTTCAATTATTTTTTCGATTAATTGATAACTAATCGGATAGGCAAAAGGTTCCTTAAAGGAAGATTTTGTACAGAATTAAACCAAATTAAACTAAAACTTTCCCACTGATGAGTTCTGGATAGAGCATATTGAGAGGTGAAAAAGTTTTTCTTTTTTTTTTTTATCCTAACTGCAAAATATTTATACATTTTTCACAATCTTTGTATAATTACTGCTCAAATTGGGTAGCTCTGTCACCTAAAGGCATGTTTTAGAATCTCTACACTCCAGATAACGATTAATCAATAACTGAATTAGTTGACAATTATTTGAATAATTGGTTAATCACACAATAAAATCTGTTCCAATATTGTTCCAAGTATAGAACATGGTTTGCAAAGGGGTAATAAAAAAAAAAAATTAAAAATGCAATCCAGAAATTGAATGTTGATAATATAAAGGATTTAAGAGTAACACAAGTTCTCAGATTGAAATTATTTTTGAATTATTAAAAAAAAAAAAAAAAATTCCAAGTTTTCTAATTTTCTGTTTTTACAGACTTTAATTTTTCAAATTTATTAAAATTTTATCAATGTTTCTGTTTTTCAGATTAAGTATTACGTATAAGCGTTTGCACTGAAATTAAAGAAGAAAATGTGATAGTGTAAAATGCAATTCATAAATATCAATCTGAAAGAGAAATTTAAAATATAAAACGTTAACATTTTTTATTTAAAAAATAAAATATGGAAAAAATTTAATTAAAGAAGAAAACAAGTTATTCTAAAAAAATACACACACACATATATGTTTTAAGATTCGTCTTGCATTTTTGCGAGTTTCTATTGAATTTTTTACTTTTCCTCTAAAGTTCCATATAAACACGTTTTTTAGCTATCAGCAACGGAACAAAATTCAGTGCACACCATTTGGGGATAGTGTGGGGATATAAACCGTATTTAAAGTCTCCAACATTTCTATGTTTGTAAAAATGAAACCATAAATAAAGCATTATGATCGACTCCAATGTTAGTTTCACTTCCTGTTATTTCCACAATGTATGGATGTAACAATTTTGCTAAAATTTGGTTTTTCATATATTGGGTTCCCCACTTGCACAGTGATATAATGTTGAAAAATTTCCCATCTATAAAAAAAATATATGTATATACACAACGTTGGAAACACTCTTTCAGTTATGAGGATTTCACTTAGGAGAATGTAAACCATGACCCCAAACCATAGATAAATAAGGCCAGAAGGGGCTATTATTAATCCAAAAAAATTGAATAAAGTCCACTCATTTCTGCCAGGTGATTACTTGAGGGTAAAAGTAATATTAGCATTTTCCAGTGTAAACTGTCCAACTCACCCCACTCTCCGCTGCTTCTTCCCAGCTCTCAGCTACCTCCTCATCCTCCATGTTTAACTTGAGTCTGGCAGGATGTCCCTTCACTCCTCCAGCAAACTATATCCAGTCCCAGCTGGGGGCATGAGACGGTGGGAGCAAGGACAGGCAAGACCTGCCGAGGACTCGGGTTTCACTTGGTTTTATGGTCTGATGTAAGCTAAAGGAGCAAATTCGTAAACCTTTATTTGGCCGCGTGTTAGCCTGTTAGCTTGACGCTCGGAAGAAATTACAATGTTGGCCCCACTTCCGGTCACTTTTAATTCCGCTTCTAGGGCCTTTAAACGTAGACGAATCACTTTAACATTAAAGTAAAAACGTGAAAAATTCACTAAACGGCCTTGGGGTCCAGTCGGATGAGATCCACTGCTAAGCTAATCTAACCGTTTAGACTGGGGAGCGGAAGTGAGGTTGTAACGTCAGTCCGACACGTAAGAGAGGACGGTGGGTGGAGCAGGAACAGCCTCATTAAATCCTAATAGGTACTTTCCTTGGAATAACGATAAAGATATATGTTATAAGAAAAAAATCTCTGTTTTTCTGGAATGAAAAAATCAACCTCTTTAATTATCAAGAATTTTTATGCCATTTTAAGATTTCTAAACAGTTTTTGATGCTTATCCACAAGTTGTTATAATGTTATTTAACACTAGAAGTCCCAGAGAATT